TTTCCAACCAGTTTAAATATATTTTTCAAAATGGTATAGAGGGATTGACTAAAGAAAATGAAGCTACATAAACGAAAGTTTTACTATAATAAATAATTTCACATAAAATAACCTTTAAACACTAAAAGAAAGTTTATCACTAAATATCTTATTTTATTACTGACGAGATTAGAGAAAACACAAAATAATAAACCACAATCATTATATTTAACCCTTCAATATTTTCAAAAACTAAACAAAACAATTATTCAGACCACATCTGTCAATTCTTCTAAGAAGTCGAGATCTGCAAAAATAGCTTGGTCAACTTGGTAATCTGGAACATAGACATCGTCATTTTGCACATTAACTGGGTAATCTGGAACATAGACGGCGTCATTTTTCATATGAACTTGATCATTTTGCACATCAACTTGGTAATCTGAAACATTGACATCGTCATTTTGCATATGAACTTGATCATGAGAAAGAAAGGCATCCTTGTTGTCTGATGTTTTCGCGTCGTAAAACCTTTTTCTTTTGCCTTTCTTGAGTGCGGCCAAATGTTTGTAGTAATGCTGTGCATGGCTGGAAACTTGTGCTGGAGTCCTGGTTTTCACCACATACCTTGAAATATTGGTCCATTGTCCCCTTTTGTATATCTCGAGTCCTTTAAGGAACAACCTATTAGAAACAAAATCGTAAATAAGACTTGATTAAGCATTTAAGCAGAAGTAAAAAAAATAAAAATAAAATAAGAACGACGTACTTACTTGTGTTCTTCTTCACTCCATTTCTTGTAACTATTAGTTTGAGTCGGAGTTGATGCTATATATGAATATGAAGATGAAGATGATGATGATGATGATGATGGAGGAAACTCATTGCTTTCAAACTGGTTGTTCATATCTTTCGACATTCTTTGCTTCTTTCTTCTCTGATCCTGTGTGATTCTTTTCACTGTAATCCTTGTTTTATAGGAAGAACCTTGAACTTAAAAGATAAATGATAAAGTAATTTGTAGATATATTATATCTATAGATAGATATATAATCTCCCAATAAACAACAGCTATATCTTAAATAATCTATTTTAACTGTATACCTGTTCTGTAGATTTCACCTAAGATTCTTTTTAAGAGAATAATTTATCTTTCTAACTGTAAAATAAAGATATGCTATTTGATTATAAAAATAAACACAAGCCTAAATTATAATTCTTGGAATATATATTGTAGAATAATTTGTTTTCACTTAAAATCTCTCTCATCTTATAGCTGTAAATAATCATTCTATAAATCTTGATTGGTTAAGGTCGTTTATAAATTTGATTATTATCTAAATAAATAAAAGTCAATCTTATAAAAAATAAGACTAGTATTACCTACGATCCCCCAAAAAAGAAGAAGTAGAGTTTAAATCAATGTTTTAAGTTTGATCATTACATTTATCGTAATTAAACATTAAAAAATAACCAGTAATAATTAAGATCTTATATAAAATAGTAAGTATAATATAATATATAACCAATAATGGAAAATATTATTAACAATAATAAAATTAATAAAATAACTAATAATAATAAAATAATAATTATGAAATAAAACATAGTTCACACTAAAAATTGAAAATGTATGTATTTATATAATTTTTGACATTTAAAAGTACATATATAAAAACAAAATTTATTATAATGTTAGGGGTAAATTTTAAATAATGCATTTATTAACAAAAGAACAAGTTTAAATATAAAATGAAAAGGAAAGTGATAAATCCTGCAAATTAAAAATGCCATTGTATTAAGCATTTTTTTATTAAAATTAACAAAAACAAGTTTAAATATAAAATGAAAATGGAAGCGATAAATCTGCAAATTAAAAATGACATTGTATTAAGCATTTTATACTTTTATAATAAGTAATCACTTTTTTAAACCTGCAAATTACAATTTAAATTTACAATAAATAATAATATGACATTCTTAAATAATAATAACTCGTAAAATCATTATACAGAAGAAAATCTCAAAAGCATTCTTATAAAACTTACAATATTGACATTTTGACTTTCTTATAATTTTGGAATGCTTGCAATAGTAAAACAAACACTTACTTCAATAAAAAAACACACACATTTCAGATCAATTTTCTTTGAAAACTTTATTTTAGAAAATATTTATAACTTTTATTATGAATAAATAAAAATTTTCAAGAAATTATTATTTTCTTTTGCAAAATATTCTGCACAAAATATTTCTCACAAAAAAATGTAAAAATTTTACAGAAAATTTTGTAAGAAATAATTGTAAATTTTATAGGAAATAATTATTTACAAAATAATTATTTGTTAATTAAAATTCTTAGAAAAAAAATCTTATATACAAAATTTTATAATAAATTTGTAAGAAAAATTCTATAAAATATGTGAAATTGTAGTGTGTACTTGTGAGATCCCAAAAATATAGCACACAACTATATACAGGTATCCACATTTAATAATATGATAGAACAATTACTATAATACGAACATCAAACTTACAATTATTACAAAATACCCATTAAATTTTTTCGTTTATCTTTGCAAGAGCTTCCTATACCACTACCGAACTTTCAACATATAACCGAACGGTTATATTTACAGAACAAAAATAGTGAACATTCGGTTCACCAAAACTATAATTACTATACGACCGAACGGTCATAAACTATTCAGCAGGAGTCTCACCACCCAGCTCTTGCTCCAGCGTAAGCTCTTCCCCTTCTGCTCACATCAAACAAGGATGATCATTGCAATAGAAAATCGAACGGTAACATGGATAAAACAGAAAACAAGGGTAAGCTACTATAATTCAATTAAGCATGTATTCACACATGTAATAAACTACAAGCCATTACAGAACGAACGTTGTAACATACAGGAGCCAATATAGATATCACACATAACTGAAATATAATAATACTATACAACCGACACTTGACTTGACCATCCGGATTGTATGAATACGTAGCTTGAGGCCATTCGTGCACTCGGGTGGTGGAGTAACTGTAAAACCATCAGCTGCCACCCGAGGTTATTCAGTTATAACTCACCAAAAAACCTATGGGCTAGGACCTCCCGCCATTCTCACACAATGACTTACCCATCTCTACTTGAGAACTAGTAATCATCAGAATATCAGGATGAACTCCGTGAATTTCACTATCCGTATTCATACTCTACCACAACATTATCCTTACACTGAGACATTCCTCCCCGAAATTCTCTTCCACATTACTTGAAACATAAACTTTTACTTGAATAGCAATAATACTTCCCATACATAATAGATCATTGCAGTAATAAACAACCAACACCAAGCCATAACATCGGCATTGAAAGATCAAACAACATTTCACATAAGAAGATCGAACACTCAAATAACACCACCCTTAGTCACCAATGAACGGAAAGGATCTAAACAACAGACGAATATAACTGAATGTTTATTTAATAGATATGACTTTAACATGATTCGAACACAGCTTAAGGATAGAACACTCTAATTAACCAAATACTTAATATAAGACTGAGCCATATTTAACTATCCTCAATACTCGAACGAACGGTATTTCAATATCCTCAAAGTAATAACGAACGATATTCTACTATACTTAACACAAGAACGAACGCTATTTCACTATCTGACAAAACCGAACGCTTAAAGCTTATATCGAACACTTATAACTATTGATCCTTGGTGTGAGACCGAATGGTATTTTGCTTATTTTACAAACCAAACGCCTAGAGCTTCTACCGAACACTTATAATTACTCCTACAAACTATTCATCAAACCTAGTACTTTTAAGGAAACCGAAAGTTAAGACATTTTAGCTAAAATACACATAAACTTGTAACTAATCATAAACAAACATAATTTAAGCCTAGTCTAAGTACGAAGTATACTAATAATAATATATGAACTATCACAAACCAAAATACCTAATCCAATAAGAATGATTATAAATGTATATAACCATCAACACTTGATATATTAATCACTTCCTATAAACCGAACGATCATACCCTGGTAAGGCTAAAATGCTAACTCTATTGATAACTAATTCCCTAACCATAACCGAAAGGTTGAGACCGAACACCCAACTATTCAACATAAATTTGCAGAATCCTTATAGACTTATACAGAACCACCAAAAACCCAGAAACATACATTTCATACACTCATATACACATCATCAATCAATTCATTCCATACATACACCAAATCATCACATGCATAATTAAATTAAATAACTTCCCTTACCTTTAGCTTGAACGAACGTTCCTAGAGACAGAATACGGTTTGCCCTACTACAATTCCTTCTACCCTCACGTTCAACAATTCTTCAAACTAAATCAAACAACAGAAGACCAACAATGGCTCAGACAAGATGAAATCATGCAACCAGAGAACTTGGTTTGCATGTACCAAATAACGAACGGCTAAGGACAAGAAGAACTTACCAGTTCAGAACCCAAAACCGATCGGTTCAAACTGAAGCTCTTGACGCTGGAAATGCTTCTACGCTGAACGAAGATTGGAGAAGAGAAAGTGAGTGTTTCTTTAGAGAGAAGATGAAGGAGATGTAGTGAGAAGAAGGAGAAAATGGAGTTTCGGAAATCAGAGAGGAAAATGGTTGCATGCAGAGAATTGCGTAAACTTTTAACATTCAGATTTTGCTTCTATCAACCAAAACCGAACGTCCAATTCCTTGCAGCCATCTGGCTTCCACTAAAAAGGGTTTTGGAGGGCTTTTTTAACGAGGTCTGACACTACTCAGAATATAAGTGGCCATGTTTTTTATTTGCAAATAAAATTCTTGACAGCAAGATAGTAGATACTCCCTTCTAAAGGCAATTAAATATTTGTTTTCTATTAATAGTGTATAATTTTGAAGAACAAAATAGTTGTAAAATAACCATCAACCAGCTAAAGAAAATTAAATACTATTTTATTTGGGATTTAACTAATGGTAAACATATTACACCCAAACGTATTAGTAATTTCTGAATCCAACTACGAAGAATATAAAATAATAAAGCAAAATAAAAAAATAAAAAATAAAAGGTTTCTGCAATAGTAATCTTAGACTCTCAATCCAATTAACCTAAGCTACACATTGGTTTGAACAAGCTGGAACCACTGGCTTTGAGGATCATCAAGACATTCAGAATCATCTTTTATGCAGATACACTTTGCAGTCACAATGGTGGATGAGTTAGAATCCTTCTGCAAGCAAAGTTGTTCCTCCTGTTCATTCATTGCCAAGTGAAGTTTAGAAAGAGATTCAGATTTCCATGAACTGTTCTTCCTTTCACAATCAGAAACTACAACTGGAAGCCCTTCACCAGTTGCTGTTAAACACTTCTCAGAGCCATGTAAAAGCATTTTAGTCTCATCTTCTCCACGAACCCATCTGTGATTGCTCTCACAGCTTCCAAGTTCAACTTCATTCCTCTCATTCACTTGAGCACATTGACCAGATAGTGGGTGGTACAAGATATTTACAATGGGGGCCATGGAGTTAGGTTCTGCATCAAGAACAAGCAATGTCAACCTTGATGCACATATGCTTCAAAGAATAGTAACTGATATAAATCATCTTATGAGTGATGTTTTATTGGTGATCAATCTAATAGTGCATGATAACTGAACTCAAAAAGCTTACCAATATTCTTTCTTTGCAAAAGCTGGAACTTGTCGGTGAAATTGGGATATCTAAGGTTACGCCATGTTGCATCCATTACACCAAATGACTCCTCAACTTGGACCTGGTCTTTCTTCAAATAGTAGCTACCTTGGAAAGCCCAAAATCCCCAGTCCATATCCTTTCCAAGAAGATAGGTTTGCAGGCATGTCAAGAACCTGTTGTCTTCTTCTGAAGAACCTGCCTCATTGAATCCAAACTCTGTAAAAATCAAAGGAGCTGCATTCTCGCCAGTGGTAAGGAATCCAGCTCTGTAGTCTATGGCTTTAACGTTGTTGGCACATATCCTATTCAATGGTTGCTTTGTCCATATCTCTTTCAATTTGAGGGTTCCAATTCCAGACCATGAGTACAAATGTGTCTCAAACACCATTTTCTTACCCAAGTCTATCTTCAATGGTTTTTTCCTTAAAAACTGCAACTCAGTGTCATAGTTCAAACCTGAGATAAGCACAAGCACATTTGGATTTGCCTTGTGAATAGCTACTGCTCCTTGGCTCATGTACCTGTACCAATCCTTCAAATTTTGGCGAGGGCCATGCAGCTCATTCCTCAAACTCATTGCCACAACCTGTTAGAAAACCAGAAGTAATAACAAGGTCATCTTACTGTATTCAATTTTAGCTCAAGAGAGGATAAAAAAAGCGAAACTATTAACATAGCCTCTTAGATTATCTCTAAGTTCAATCCTGTCCAAGAAAACTATGAACTTTTAGTCTATAAATATAAAAGTTAAGTAGATGATTTTGGCAACAGGTACAGAAACTTTCTAACGCTAACAAATCGCGTAAAGATTAAAATGTCTACTTCTTGTTGACAGGAGTTAAAACCAAAGAAATCTGAACAGGTTATATGATCAAAGTTCATATATATAATTGAGCCAAAAAGGAAAAATACGTACAGCAGGGTTTCCATTGAAGTGTTCAGCAGCCATAGTAAGGCCATGCACCCATTCCTGAGGATTGAAATGTCTGTCATGGAAGAAGCCATTCTCATCATCATCATTGCAGCACCACATTGGCTCACTGACATGGTTATCAAGCAACACTTTCACATTCTGAGCTCCAAGTTCTTGAACAACAGCATGAAAGGTCTGAATGTGTGTCATGGACAACACAGAAGGGTTGTTCTTGGCAATCCCTTCAACCACTTCTGGTACATCCAAAGAGGCTAAGTTGGCACTCACATTCTCATGAGAAAAGCGTGTCCACATGTAGATTGCATAGGTGAGACGCACGCAGTTGAAGTTGAGCTTCACAAGCTCACCGACAATTTCCTTCAAGGGTCTTTTGTCAAGACCCTCAGGCATCATTGGTTGAAGGTGGCCAGCCCAATTGGCACACACCAACTTCACACGTTGTCCTGTTGCTTCATCTATGATCCATCTGTTCTGCGTTGATAAAGGGTATGCATTTGAATGCGTTGCAGAGATGACTACAAGGAGGAGAAGAAAGACAAAACGTGAAGACATTTTCGCTTTCAATGGAAAATAACTTTGATGTTGGAGAAGAAAGCGTGAGAATAAATATATAGGGTTTTCTGTTTAAGTTTAGCAACCACATTAACAAAAGTTTTGCTGTTAACATATATACCAATCTGTTTTCTCTTAAAGTTTCATTATAACTGATTAACTTTTTGTTTTTCTATTATATTATTCATGTTGAAAGACAGACTTTTATCCTTTGTTTATGTCTTTAACGTTATATTTGGCATTCGAAGTCGTAGGTTTCAATTATGTAACAGAGTTTCTCAAAATATCAATGATATTGTTTGTTTGTTAGATTCCAGTGCCATCAGTTCAATCAGTTAAATGTTTATGGAATTTTACATTATTGGGCTAATTATCAAAATTGTAGATCATTTAATAAATATACAACTTTGAAATTTGTGTAAAATATTTATGATTATTTGTTTCTTTAAGAATTTAAAATATATAATAAAAACATTTTTAATCAAAGTAATTAAATATATGGATGGAGATATATGTATATAGTTATTCTGTTTAAAAGTGAGTAAGAACAATGTTAATAAATCTTAACCTACATTTATAATATCAATACAAAAACATTTTCTAAGTCCTCATGCGCTTTCATTGATAATTATATGTTAGTAAACGTTGTTTGACTCAACTAGGAATAGAGACATATTATTCAATTATTCAATAAGTATACATTTATTAATTTTTATAAAATATTTATGATTATGTGTTTTCATAATTATCTGTTCGTTAATATATAGTTTGACTCAATTAGGAATAGAGACATATTATTCAATTATTCAGTAAGTATACATTTATTATTTCTTATAAAATATTTATGATTATGTGTTTTTTTTGGTAGAACTTAAGTATATATAGTAAAAACAAGTTTAATATGTCTTAAGTATATATTTAATTATTTTACAAAAACTAATTAAATATTTTAAAAAGGAATCAAAATTATCCCAAATTATATCAATTATAACATCTTTAATAACTTTAATTCTTTTACAAATTTGACTCTTTGCATTAAAAGTTCTAATTAAATCAAAACATATATACATACATACATATACATATATATATATATATATATATATATATATATATATATATATATATATATATATATATGAAATATGTGCTGGTCATTTTTTTCTATTGTTGTTATTTTCTTATAAAACTAAAATTTGACGAACACGTACTATATAGTTATAATTTAATAGTTAAGTAAACAGTACAATTTTTTTATAGTTTTATGATTAGATAAGATCCTTTCTATTTTTAAAATATATGATTGTAAATATATTTTTATATATGTGTTTTCACTTCTTTTCATGATAATAAAACAATTTTTATAATTTTGAAATACAGTCTAACTTTCTCTAGTAAAAAAGATTTATTTTGATATTTTATTTATATTTATTAAATTTTCTTTGTTTCTTTTAGATTTGGTAACTATACATTTGGTGAGGCAGGATGTGGAAAGAAGTGAAAAGGTGTAGGATTTCTTTGTTTGATTTGGCCATATGAAAAAAAAAAGCCAAAATTTTGAGGAGAAAAAGAAGGAAGAAAATTTCTTTATTAAGAAAAAGTGTGAAAAGTTACCATAATTTTGTTATGTAAATAATTGTTTTTGCATACTTAAGTATATTATAAATATTTTGTAATGTTACATATATAAGTACAAAAATTAATATTATAGTTTTATTTGATATTTTTATAGTAACAAATTTTAATAGTGATTAATGATATAAATTATTAGATTTATATTACCATAAATATATGAAATAAATTGAGGAAGTAAAATATGATATATTATGGATAAAGTCAAATTACAAAATTCCTTATTAACAGAAAAAAAAAATGAACCAATTCAGTTTATTCGTTTTTAACATAAAACATGTTGATATCTTTGAGTAACAAACATTTATTAAATCAATATAATTAATAAAAACTGTGGAAGAAAAAGCGATTAGGTAACACATAAATATATTATAACCACATTATATCACTCCAAAATCTGTTAAATTTATTTATTTGGTTTTTTATAACCACTTTAGCAATTCTGACTCCGTTTATTTTACGGAACAATTAATTTTCTAAATTTTTCTCTAGAAATATTTATTTTAATTCTTATCATTGATACTATAAAATATTAAAATTAGTTAAAATATTTTTTCTTACCCTAGACTAAATTTAAACAAATAAACTGAAATACAATAAATGAATAATGACTGATATTTCTTTTTTTTTTTAAATCCCTCTAGTTGTTTCTATTTATGTAGATTTTTTTTTCTAATTTCCATTTTTTTAACATCCTCAATTGAGTCCTAAATATTACTAATTTAAATCAATTGGGTCTCAAACACCACCCATAATTCTTTTTTTTCCCTGTCCATCACCCAGACCCTAAATTCAACAATAGATTCCTTTCCAGCATCTGTAATTCCTGCACATTACACAACAATAATGTCCTTTTAATAATAAAACTTGAACCCTCCAAATATCGTCCATGGAAGTTAACTTAGCATAAACATATAGAAAAACAATCAATGGTCGTAGTAATAACCATAATCCAGAAATTAAAAGTCACCTCAGCAGAAGCCACTAATGTAAGAAATTCTCCGTAGTCCATTCCTGTGAATACCCTCGCAGTAGTAACAGTGGATTTCCCCTGAGTTAGAGTGTTTGTTTTGTCAAACAGTGGATTTCCCCTGAGTTAGAGTGTCTGTTTTGTCAAACAGTGGATTTCTGGCAGCCATTTTTCTGGGTATGCTCCTCGAGCCCCGCATCGCTTCACAAGAAACCTCAAGAAACCTCAATTAAATCGGAAACCTTCTCTGCAAATCTCTCTCCCCAAGAAGGCCGAATGGATCCAATTTGGGAAACTGGAGAAACAGCTGGAGAAGAAGCACTACAGAGGAGTCCGCCAGCAAGCGCAGGTCGAGAGTGTGGCTTGGAACCTTCGACACCGCCATCGAGGCCGCCAAGGCCGACGACCGTGCTGCCTTCAGGCTTTGAGGCTCAATGGCCATCCTCAACTTCCCGCTCGAAGCAAGCGCGATGGATGCCACCGCCGAGGCCAAAGGCAAAGGGAAGCGGTGATGCCAAGACGAGGAGGTAGAGGAAGTGAAGCCGGTGGTGAAGAAGGAGAAAACGACAGAACAGGAGGTGAACTGTTTTCGGGAGATGCAATTAACGCCTAAGGTTGAAGATGATCAAAGGTAAGGTTGAAGATGATCAAAGGTAAGGTTGAAGATACGAACCCTAATTTGGGTTTCAATTTTTAGAATTTTCTTTTAATTATATATTCCATGTATATAGAGTAAAGAATGCCACGTTTAAAAAAATTGACACGTCAATCTTCTACCTCAACAAAAACTCCCGTTAAGCCAATTTAACGTCAAGGGCCGAATTGATTCAAATTAATACTATTTAGGACTCAATTGAGGATTATAAAAAAATAGGGATCTGAAAAAACCTACACAAATAGGGACAATTAAAGGGATTTAACTTCTTTTTTATAGTTAGTACTTTATCACAATCAATTTAGTCTTTTGACTGATTTAGATAATAAAGAGATAAGTGATGAAAGAGATAAAAAAATAGAAGATATGGAGTATGACAAAAATATATTTCACTGGTAACTTGACTTATATTTAGGTGTTTATTTTTTTTATATTCTTTTCTATTCAATCAACTTTCTATTTTTTGTAAAAAAAAAAGATTTAATATGTTTTATTAAATTAAATTAACATTAATATTATTTAAAAATGTAAGTGTCAAAATCTAATCAATTTTTATCTTATAAGTTTTTTTAATTATAACACGTGATATTTTCAAAACAGAAAATATCTAGATTATGAGTTTCATTAAATTTGTTTTTAAAAAACAAAAACTCAAATAACTAGTTTTTAAGAAAAGGAATGTAAAAACTTAGAAAACAAAGTATTATAGTTGGTAGATGTTTTAAAATAATGAGACAAAGTATTATAAAATTTAAAATAAGTTGATTAAATAAATATAATTTCTTAAACTTGTCTCATTAATACTTACATTCTCTCTAATGATGTGTTCACTTGAACATAATTTACTCTTAAGTGGTGATTAAGAGCGAGGAATTGAGGTGAATTTTGTGTTCACTTTAGAAGAAATGGAAGGAACGATTTGATAGGATTTGTAGGATTTGCGGGATGTGTCATTTTTTTATAATTTGGAGAGATTGGTTGTGCGTCGTAATTTATAATTCTAGCTCTAATTATCACATTCTAATTACAAAGAATCCAGTCCAAGATTTTGATTAATAATAAAAACATGAGAAGAACAGTGATTTATATGGTCACTGTAGACTCACAATGAAGAAGAAACTGGTTGAAAGATGAAGACGACTTTTGAAACTGAAGAAGATGAAAAATAATGATTTGTTAGAAGCGTATTTGGTTCCTAGACCACCTGTATTCGGTTCCAAGCGTATGAAGAATTTACATGGAACCTATATTCGGTTCCTACTTCCTTTTATTTGGTTCCAAGCATCATGTATTCGGTTCCCAAAATATGCTATTCGGTTCCAGCATAATGGGTTAAGTGAGAGCACCGAAAGGTGGTGGCAAGAAGGAAGCAGAGGATGCGCTTTGGAAGAAGTGTAGGTCAAAAGGTTGTCAGGGGTTGTGATGGTGCTGCTATTGTAGTGATGGGTTGAAGGGGTGGTGAATCGAGAAACCAGTGGTGGTTGTTGGTGTTCAGTCATGTAGAATGGGCCAATTAACATGGTAAAGTTGTGGTCGAAAATTTGCCAAAACGTTTTGGTCGGGTTCACTGGCGGTGACTTCATTTCTGGCAAGGAGTATTATCGAAGAGTTCCATTCTAAGGTTTTTGTAAGTGGAGTATTACAGTGTAAAAGTGGTAGAGAAAAGTAAGATTGGGTTTAGATTTTTTAAATATCCAAAAGCCTAATTTGTAGGGTTTGGCTAAGTACTAATCTTAATAATAATAATCCTAATAATAAAAATAATAATAATAATAAATAATAATGATAATAGTAATAGTAATAGTAATAATAATAATAAATAAATAAAATAACAAATAATAATAGTAGTAGTAATAATAATAATAATAAATAATAATAATAATAAATAATAATAATAATAATAATAATAATAATAAATAATAATAATAAATAATGATAATAATAATACTAAAAGAAAATCGATTATAATAATAATAATTATTATTATTATTATTATAAAAATTAATAATAATAATATTAATAATAATAATAAAATTATAATAATTATTATTATTATAATAATAATATTAATAATAAAAATAAGTTATTTTTATTATTATTATTTCAATTTCGTAAGTTACCAATTTTTACATTTTAAAAATTAATTTTTATTTTTTTTTACTTATAAACATTTTTACTAGAGTTGTCAAAATTGATCACAATCCGCGGGCCAACTTGACCCACCACGGGTTTGAGCCGAGTTGAGTTTAAAAAGATTGTATTTTTTTATGCGGATTAGATTTCACCCCGACTCATTTAAACCCGGCTCATGTGGGTTGAACCCATGGTGGGCCAACCCACCTACATAGCTAAAGACATAGGCAACACTAAAGTTATAGGCAAATGTACATTGATTTGGATGAAAGAGTGCTAAATGCTTTTCAGGAAGACATCCTGTACAAATTTAAACTCACTCTAGAGTATGTTGGTTCTTGTTGCAGAACCTGATTTAGCACTCCACACTCATTCATCTAACCAATTTACAAAACACCTAACTCAAGACTTTTAATTTCAGTCATATTAAGACAACAAAGTATTAGCAAAAACATGATCCAATGAAAACCTATCTAGAATAAAATCAAAGATACATTCCTAATTTCAATTCAAAGTAAACCTAAACTAACTCAATCAGAGCATCAAATTTTATCCTAATATAAGTAAATGGAAAAGCAATGACCTAATCTACAAGCACTATTATGACCAATTACAATTGGAAACATCAAAACAAAAACAAATAGAAATCATTACTCAATCCTAGAACTTAATTCATCATGAAAGAATAAAAAAGAGACATACATCTACATAAACTAATTGCAATTCAAAAACACTAAACAAACTGGCATATCATAAGCTCAATATTAAATACAAAATCGTTTATACAAACAAACGATCTCGTGTTTTGAAGTTTAACCAAATAATATTAAAATGGGTTAATGATCAACAACTAACCTAGGGTAAAAACATAGAGCCAAAACCCAAACAAACAAAAACTAGAACCTGAACCCCAAACTTAGAAAACGTAAGAAAACACTTAGATCCTAGAAAATAGAAAAACACTTAGGCTAGAACAACGAGATGCATGACTAGACGATGTCTTGTCTAAAGGTGTTTGAGAGAGATCTGAGCTAAATGCTCAATGCTTAAAATATTTGAAGTAGGCATTTGGCTTTTCTCGAAAACAAAAACAAATCGAGACAATGTCGTCGACTAAACAATTAAAAGACTTAATTATCAAAAGACTTAAAGAAGCCTGAGCAAGCTAAACACTGTCTGAAAAGAGATAAATGCCAAAGAAGCATTTACTTGGATCAAGACGATACCATGAGCTAAACATATATGTCATCTTATTATAAAGTTTCTATACGTTTGGTATCTTCAAATTAAAAGAGCTTAATTGTAAAATGCTACCTAACGGTAGGAAATCAAAAAACACTTTTTTGTTCTGAGCAACCATTAAATGACATTAAATGTTCAATGTTCAAAAACAATTAAAGTGATAACAAAACTCATATATGATGCATGCACAATTTACTCTAATTTTTTTTAGATAAGTTATTTTATACGCATCCACAGTGTTACAGATCAAATATCAAATGTGGATGTTAGAGAGAAAGAGATAACCATGGAATGTTCCTCTCTTGAAGAAAAGTCTAAAAATATCGTACAACCTACTTCAAGCAAAGGACTAAAAAAGCATGTATGCTCTAACAAAGTTGACTGACACAACGACTGCTAAGGAAAAGAAGAAAAAGAAAACACAAGCATCAAGGCTGCAAACTACAAACATAGTCTAACAAACAAATATTCATGAAGCCTATAAATAAAAGATCTCTCAAGAAGAAAATCAAGAGGATAGAATATAGGATAGAGAAGGTACAAAAAACATACAATGACATATCCATCCTAAAGAGAAGAAGAGATAAAAGAGATCAAAGAAAAGAATACATCTAAGCTGAAGAAAAGAGAAGAGAAAAAAAAGAAAGAGATACTCTCCAGCTTAAGCATAAAATCTTTACTGTTGTAAGATTATAGAGAGAAACACCTAGGAGTGTTTAGACTACATTGCATTGTAATCAAATCCTCTCGTAGAGAGATTTAGTCTAAACTGTTTGTAACCAATCGTTGATTGCAATTATGTAGATAATTAAAACACTTACAACTAAACTCTTTTGAGTTTAGGAATCTAGGCGTGGTAGTCTAGTAACAAGAGCGAGTCGAATACTCAAGAAAATCTTGACGAGGTAGCTGAGTACTGCAAATGCTCAAGGAAATCTTGGCGGGGTACTGAGTACCAAGAGTGATACAAATACTCAAACATAATCTCGGCGAGATAGCTGAGTACCAAGAGTGGTGTTAATACTCATTTGTAATTGTGTGAAGATTATAGTGGAACCATCTACGGAGGAGACTAGATGTAGCTCAGTTGGAGCAAACCAGTATAAAATCTCATGTTATTCTCTCTTCTCTTTATTAAACGATCCTATTAGAAAACTTGCAGTCAAGCTTTATATTTGAAAATATAAGAACTTCCAAGCTAAATGATTCTTTATTTCTAAAGGGAGTTCTTACAAACGATGTAGTAGAAATATTCTAAATAACATGTCAATTTTATCAACTCATATATTTCAAGTCGAGCGCCTAAGCGTTTGAAATAGTATTTCTCACGTTCGATAACGTGCTATATCAAAAGGTTGCGAAAAACTTTTTCTATTCAACATCTTTATCCCTTATAGTGTTTTTCAGGTACT